GCCCAACATCCACCCAATGCAAACCCGATCCAAAGCTGGTACCTTCTGCCCCAAACAAATCCTAAATCTCAACACCTCTACACCCATTTCTCCCTTACCCCCAACTTACCGTAGTGCTCTCAAGGATCCAAACTGGCATGCTGCTATGTGTGATGAATATAATGCTTTGATCAAGAATGACACATGGGAATTAGTACCCCCCTCCCCCACACAAAATATCATCACCGGTAAATGGCTCTTCAGACACAAACTTGGCCCTTCAAGTGAGTTAACCAGGTATAAGGCCTGATGGGTTGTTCGTGGCTTTAATCAGCGTTTTGGCGTCGACTACGGTGAAACGTTCAACCCCGTTATCAAGCCTGCCTGCCACTGTACGCATCGTCCTTAGTCTTGCTCTGTCTCGCGGTTGGCTCATTCATCAGCTAGATGTCAAAAATGCATTCCTCCATGGCCAGCTTCAGGAAACAGTGTATGCCAGTCAGCCGTCTGGGTTCCAAGATTCCAAATGCCCTCATCATGTCTGTAAGCTCAAAAAGGCCTTGTACGGCCTCAAGCAGGCACCTCGCTCATGGTATCATAGGTTTGCAGGTTTCATTCAGACTATTGGGTTCCAAGGGTGCAAGTCTGACACGTCCCTCTTCACTTTCTCTCATGCCGCGGGCACGACCTATCTCTTACTTTATGTCGACGACATCGTTCTCACTGCCTCTTCACCTGCACTCCTTCAGAGCATCATTCGGAAACTCAAGGCTGAGTTTGCTATGACAGACATGGGCGACTTACATTTCTTCCTCGGCATCAATGTCCATCGCACCTCCACTAGGATGTTCCTCCATCAGACTCAGTTTACCCATGACATCCTCGAGCGGGCTGGGATGGTCTCCTATCGTCCCATCTCTACACCAGTGGACACAAAGGCAAAACTATCCTCCTGAGCTGGGACGGCCCTTCCTGATCCGACGTTGTACAGGTCTATTGTTGGAGCTCTGCAGTATCTCACTTTTACTCGACCTGACATCACTTATGCCGTCCAGCAGCTTTGCCTTCACCTCCATGCACCTAGGGACGTGCATCTCACGGCCATGAAGCGGATCCTCCGCTACCTGCAGGGCACGGCCACCCATGGCATTCATCTAACGTCATCCACTACAGACTCTTTGCAGGCCTACTCTGATGCAGACTGGGCTGGATGTCCTGACACTAGACGCTCCACCTCTGGTTATTGTGTCTTCCTAGGCGATAACTTGGTCTCCTGGTCATCCAAGCGCCAGGCCACTACCTCCCGATCCAGTGCCGAGGCCGAGTACCGGGCTGTGGCGAATGCCGTAGCTGAGACTTCGTGGATCCGCAACCTTCTCCTTGAGCTACGACAGCCACTCAAACGTGCCACCCTTGTTTTCTGTGACAATATCAGTGCCGTCTACCTATCATCAAATCCGGTACAGCACCAGCGGACCAAACATGTGGAGGTCGACATACACTTTGTTCGGGACAAAGTAGCACTTGGGCAGGTTCGTGTTCTTCATGTGCCCTCTTCTTCCCAGTATGCTGACATCTTCACCAAAGGCCTGCCGTCCCTGCTCTTCCTCGAGTTCAAATCCAGCCTAGGCATCCGACCTCCTCCACATCCGACGTAGTCGGGAGCATGCTAAATATATTAATTATATTTAATTATAGTATTACCATACTTGTATAGGTTTCCTAATGTGGCTCTCCTACTATGATTAGGATTGAAGCCTCTAGTATATATTGTTGTATTCTCTACACAATTATTCAATGAAAATATTCTTTCTACGTATAGTACCAAAAACTACATTTGAATGTCACTAAACAATGTCATAATATTACATTGCAAATTTTTATTTTAGTAATAAAAACATGAAACTTGTATTTTCAGAATAAATCATATTTTAGATATATGGTTTCTTTTTACCTTAGACTGTTGGTGTGGGAGAGAAGTCTGGTTGTGGGATTCTTACATTTCTCAACTTCATACAGCATTTCGGGAGTGGGAGGATGATCGAGCTTCCTTTTTGCAACGGCAGCGACGATCACCTGTAACAAGGGCGTCAGGGGACTGCCGGCGGCGAATCTGTACCGGAAAAACGGCCGTCCGGAGCAGAAAACCAGAGTGGAAATCCCCATGGCGGCGGTGAGGACGGCGGCGGCGGCTCCCCAGCCGACGTACTCCGCCAGGTAAGACACGACGGTGACGCCGAGCAAGAGGCCGCAGCAGAGGGAGACGTTCCACCAGTTGAAGAAGGACATCTTCTGCTTCCTCTCTTCCCGGTGGCTGTCGTCGAACTGGTCCGCCCCGAAGCTCTCCAGGCACGGCTTGAACCCTCCCGTCGCCAGAGATATTAGGTAGATTGCCAGGTAGAAGGCGGCCTTGTGCGCCCTCCTCGGCGGCCGGCCGCCGCCTCCGCGGCAGTTCGGGAGGTTGCATGATTTGAGGCCGGGGATGAATTGTGTGGCTGTGAGTAGACTCAGTCCCTGAAACAATAAGGCTAGGCTCCGTTTGGAAAGACAGAAAATAAATTCTGGAAAATACATTCTACTTCAAAAAAAACAAATTGTTCCTTTTCATTTAAATTCACTTACACTAATATGTCTGGTTCAAGTAGAGAGAAAACCAAATTACTCGAGAAAAACTAGAGAAAATCGTTTTCTTTGAAGCGAATAGCAATTAAGTAGGTACATACATATATATATATATACATACATACATACCATGAGGTACAAGAAGGAAGAGAAGACGATCACGAAGAAGCGGCCGGTGTGGGAATCGGCTAGGTAGCCGCCCGCCAATGGCATCACCGTCGTGACCCCCGTCCAGTAGTTTGAGTTCTTTGCGGCGGTTTTCAGGTCATTTTGCATCACTCTCGCGAGATACGTTATCAGATTCGTCGCTATGCCGAAGAAGCTCAGCCTCTCAGCAAACTCTATTACTTTACTTCACCAACAACGTACACGCCCCCAACAAAACAAACATATTTTACGTAGATATTTCAAGATTATGTTTCAAAAATAGACCTATATGTTTATACTCCCTCCGTCCCTCATAGATCTTCTCAATAGCCCTTTTTCTATGTCCACAATAGATCTTCTCATTTCATTTTTTAACAATTAAAATACCACAACTACCCCTACTTACTTTATTTATTACACCTCACCCACCTCATTTAATACACTCCACCCATTTTTCATTAAGGGTATTATGGTAAACTTTCACCTTTTTTCAACTCTCCTTAAAAATCACCAAAAGTCAAAATGAGAACATCTTAGGGGGACGGAGGGAGTATTAAGTTTCTATTGCAATAATTCAAGTTTTAAAATATCAACTATGAAAAATGAAATAAGAAGAAATAAAGTGGAAGGATCTAAAGGAAGTAGTTATTAATTTAGCTTAATTAATTAATAGAGTAAGAACATACTAATGATGAAGAAGGAGGCTTTCCAGACGCCAGTAGAAGCTCTGAGAGGAACTCTTCCTTTGCTATCCACGGAGGAATCATAAACCCATTTTTCTCCATCTTTTTTCCCCTTATTATCATCATAATCCATCTTTCTGCCCTCCTTTTCCATTGCAAACTTCTTAATAATAGCTTCTTTATTTATATAATTAATGATTATAATGTATATTTGTTTCCCTTCAGCCAAATAAAGGGAATTTATTATTGTGTTATAATTATTAGGGAGTGTTTAAAATTAATTAGCTTCATATATAAACCCGAGATATTAATACTGGTTGAGATGCGTGTGTTGCCTAATTAAATGATGGCTGTGGTGGGTCACGCAAAGACTCCCATCCCTAAATTCAATGTAATGTCATTACGGTGTTCAACAATAATGCACCCCAATCACAAAATGAACATAAACCACTAATTTCAACATAGATATAAAACATGTGTCACAAAATAATGTTACACTCCCTCCTTTAAAACAAAAATTCTATATTTTTAACAACGTTGCAAAATTCTGTGTTGTTTAATCAAAATGATTTTATTTACGACGTCTCATCTTCAACTATCCAATTTTGGTCGTCTTACTTTTGTGTCTTTAAATATCTTCCTAAAAAAACTTTACATTGAGTTATCCACATGATAAAAAAAACTCAAAATGAAAGAGAACCGAATTGAATATTCATCATAAATAATTGATTCAAATACATATGAATTAAAGAATTCATTAATACTCCTTACGTTTTTTTTGGCTCATTTTGGTTTATGATATTTAACTAAAAATTTCTTTCGAATTAAATTAATTATTAAAAAAATGTACAATAAAAAGATTAAATTAAAAGTATTTAAAAGCTATATAAAATTATACAATATATGAAATGGCATAATGGCATGGCAATATGATTTCCTTAAATGAATAATTAAATTGCGAAAAATATAGAAAATTTGACGTTATAAGATGAAAACTGAAAACAAGTGGGTCTACTAAAAAACAAAAGATAAGTGGGAATTTCAATTTTTCTTAATTCGGTTAAACAATGCATGTTTGATTGTATGGAAGAAAGCGATGGAAAACGGGAAATGGTAACTACATACTCGGTTTTATGTTGGAAGAAGTAAATAAAATGAGCAACATTTCATATGAATATTGTGTAATTTGCAAAATATTCATATGTGGATATACAATAAATATCATACCTTCAGATGTATAACATAGAAATTCATGTAATCCCATTTCTTTCTTCTAATTTATTTTTTTACACACATTAATTCTTATTTTTTTTGAAAAATTGCATGTAAATCATAATATTTCTTATTCTTCTGAACAAATTTTAATCATCATTTTTTTTATTTACAAGCATGCTCAGCTCGTTCTTTCAAGGTCAAAAAATCGTTACAAGGGTCATAAAAAATTTAATAATTTTTTATTAAATTGAAGCGTAATAAATCCTTTGCATGAATTATAAAAATAAATATTTTCCATACAAAAGAAATATATCCTCCACAAAATTAAATAAAAAGACTAAAGTGCTCTAAATGACACTAGCTAGTTAACAAGTGTATTGGACTATTGGTAACTTGATTGAAATTCAAATCCTCTATCTCTCACAGCGTAAATATGAAATAGATATTAAAAAAGAAAAAAATTATAAGTAGGAAATTGTAAAATGTAAAATGTTTTTGAGTAAATTCTCTAAGTGCTCCATAATTGCATGTGTTTTCTATATTTAAACCGCAATTTTAAGATATTACATAAATAGACCTCAATTTTGGAAAATTATTTCGTAAAAAGTCATTTAGGCAAAATGTGACCAAATTTTTCCCTATATTTTCCCCCCAAATAGTTACTGAAGGACCAATTATAGAGTTATTTTCACAACTTGAGGGAAATTTATGTACGGAGTATAATTTTTTAAAAAAGTTTTTTTTAAAATTTTTCAATTTTTTCCATTTTTTCAGTTTCTTTTAATTTTTTTAGTTTTTCAAATTTCTCCCGGTTTCTTCCAGTTCTTTCCAGTTTCTTCCAATTCTTCCAGTTTCTTTCAACATCTAGCTCTTTTTTTCCAATCCTAAAGAACATGTCCTTCATAATTCAATGAACAATATTATTACTTATTTAACAATTTTCTTTTCAATTTGTACATAAATGCCAATCAAACAATGCCATGTGTCAATTTCTTGAAGCCGCCACATGTCATGTTCTTAGAGCATGGAGTCTCATTTATAATTTTCAAATCTAAGACTAAACTTCTATCAGTGGCCAAAGAATTATTCTTCTTATTATATGAAACAAAGAGAAAAAATTGTTTTTATTGGTATGAAAATCATGTTGTCAAACACAGGCAAACAATACGTGTATTAAAAAAGTGCACTTAATAAAATGATCAAAATACCTGAAATGAGTGATTTTGTTTGATATCTCGTTCTATGTATTTAAATATACAATTGAGTAAATCTAGTTTTCTCACCATCTTCTGGCAATAAGGATGTTATGTGATGATGATTTTGGTCACTAAGAGTAAATTGTGGAGCTGCTCGAGTGTTGTTGTGAGATGTATCAATATTTCCATCTATATACGTGAACAAAAACATATTGTTGTACTTTCTTAAACTTTTTAGGAAATGAGAACTCCTCACATCGATTCCATTAAATAAATTATAGAGCAAATATGGAGGTTTTCTTAGTAGAGGCAATTCAAATTTATAATAATAAGTATATAAAAATGTTATTAATAAATTCTAAAAATTCTCATTTTGTTTTAATTTCTTTTACTTTATTTTTCTATTCTATAAAAATAATTTTATTTCCTTTTTACTCTATTGACTAATTTTATAAATATTTTTTGTTAATAATTTGAGAAAATAGCATAGTCTTTTATATCGTTTGATGTATTTGTATGAGTCTATATTTGACATGATTACACCATTTTATTTTAAAAAATATTTTTATATCTAAAAATTTGTTCGTAAATTTTATGATTTATGGAATCCGGCCATGAATTAGAAATATTTTCACGTATATATGGTTGTGATGAAATAATTTTGTATTAAAATTAATAAATTATAGGGAAAAATAGTTTTAATTCTAAATTTGGATTCACCGAAGCAGACCATATGTCATCTTTTTAGAGACTCGAGTCTTATTTCTATTTGTAAAAGATAGTATGTTTCAAGACATATTGTAATAAATTTTGGAAAAAATAAGATAATTTTGTAAATATTTTAATGTAGCATAGTCCAATATATAATGGATATGACTATTATTTTATTAAAAATTATTTATACACTAAAATTCGTGTGTATATTTTATAATTAACTGAATTTTTTTAAAAATATTGTATATTCCAAATTTGAAATAATAAGATTCTTTAAAAGGTAATTATAATTTTGAAAAAATGAATGAAAGGAAAGAGAGAAAATAGTTGAAGATGCAAGAATTAGAAAAGAGAGATAAATAATCAAACTATTATATATTCCTTGTAGGGTGAAGAGCAATGATGGAATTGAATTACTTCTTTAACAATTTTCTTTTCAATTTGTACATAAATGCCAAGTAAGCAATGCCATGTGTCAATTTTTTGAAGCTGCCACATGTCATGTTCTTAGAGCATGGAGTCTTATTTATATATATAAAGGATATATTCAATACATAATATTCGAATGAAGTAAAGTAAACTGTGTCTTTTAATATCAATCATATATATTCTCAAAAACCTCTTTATAAACTACATTCATTATAGTATTAGACGAAGTATTTTCAAAATTACATATCATTATTTTTAATCCCTTGCGAGACCATATCCTAGACGTGGCTACTACTATTATTATTATTATTATTACTATTATTATTATATTTCAACTACAAACCATTATTTTTAATAATTGCTTAACTTGTAGGATAGAAATGATGCATGGAAGCAATGTTATAGCTTAAAAAGTTGTATTTTTCATACTTTAAAGAGAGTTATTTTAAAATACTTGTTTATAAAATAATTATACAAAACTTAGTTTTCAAAACCATAAATACTTTATACTTAAAAAGACTTACTTTTAAATTTTAAAATGGTATAATATACACAAGGGTGAATTTATGACAAAATTGATAGAGGTGAAAGGAATATTGGTGTTTAAAATTTTATATGATCTTTAATTTGTAACGTGAAATACTCCCCCCGTTCTCAAAAACACTTTTTCTTTCATTTTTTCCACTTCCAACAAAACACTTCCCTTTTCTATTAAAAAACCACTTTTATCCTTACTTTTTCATACCCTACATATCACATCATACTTTTTCTCTAATAATCTATCCATCAAATCTTACTTTTACCCATCACATCAGGGGAAAAATTGGAAATCAACTACTCCGTATAATTTAACACTTCCTTATTTTTGTCCCAAATCCAAATGGGAAGTGTTTTTCCAAACGGAGGGAGTATATTATTGTGTAATATGCATATAGAATGTGATATTTTTGTAGAATAACATCAATATTTTCTAATATTTGATTATTTTAATACCGATTATTTCGTTTTCAAAAACATTTTAAAAGTTGTGATATTGAAAAGATGTTTAATATTTTTTTTAAAAAAAAAGTTTAAACATATCAATGATTAGCTGATTTCCTTGTTGTACCTTTTTTATGTATATATGAATTGTAATACTTTAAAACTATTAAATTTTGTAATAATTTTATGTTTAATTTAAATCAAATTTAAATTCATCTACACCAGATCTAATTAGATAAAACTAGATCCAATAATATCATATTAGATCCAATCAGATCAGATCAGACCCAATCAGATCAGATTAGATCCAATCAGATCAGATCCAATCACATCAGATTAGACCCAATCATATCAGATCAAATCAGAACGTCTAAAATTCAGATCCGATTCAATCAGATCAGATATACGGAACAGAGCCTTACTCTCTCTCTGTCCCAAAATGTTTGTCGTATATCTTTTTCTAAACAATCATAGAAACTTTTGTTTATTTGTACATTTGTATTAATTATTTGATGAAATAAAATATTTTTGACACCTCTTATTTCGAAAAAAAATTTCAGTTAGCTTTTTAATATGCAATTTTTTATTTCTATATCAATATTTAAATAAAATGAATTGAAAGAACTTGATATTTTGCCTCGTTTTTTTCCAAACGTGGTAGTAAACATTTAGGGACGAAGAGAGTATAAACTAGGTGGCCTAACCGCCTAGTAGAGTTAGGTAATGTTGTTTTCAACTTATTCTTATTACTTACTCATTCTGTCCATGAGTATTTGTCAACTTTTGATCTTTTCGGTCAAAATTGATAAACCTTGACATCAAATTAAATCAAAATGATACTCCCTCCGTCCTATAATGTTCTTCCCGGTTTATTTTACGAGATTTGACCGACTTTATTTTCAATTCAACTTATTTGATTGTAGGTGTAAAATTAAAAAATAAAATTTATATATTTAAAAACTACTTCCTCCGTCCCACTCTCTTTGTCCACTTACCTTTTGGCACACCATCCAATGCACTTTTTTAATCCATTTTATCTTGTAATTTGTATATTAAAAAATTATAAAAATTATATATTAATAATCTATATGTTAAGACAAATCAAACAAGATCACATATGACTATATTTAGGCTTACACATTGAGAGAATTTGATGAGTCAAAGTACTTAGATGAACCGTTCCAAAAGTCAAAAGTGGACAAAGAGAGTGAGACGGAGGTAGTACATCAAAAGTTCTACAAAACAAGTAGTGACAAGACTATATTATTTTATCAAATACCTAATGAAAATAGGTAAAGAAAGTGATTAAAGTTTGACCGGATAAAAAGTGGGTGGGAAGAACATTTTAGGACGGAGAGAGTATTCGATATTGATACAAAACTAGTTTTATTTGATTTATTGTATCAAATATTTTCAAAATATTATTTTATCTAAATAATATACAATATATATTTTATTTAATTATAGTTCAAAAATTAAAAATGACTAACCAAAAAAAGTCAAAGCTAGACAAATACTCAGAAACGAAAGTAGTATAAGTTTTTTGTATTATAATTAGATCAGATCAGAAATCATTTTGAATATAATTACATTTAGATTAGATCAGATCCAAATTTATTTTAATCAGATCAAAATCATTCAATTCAGGAAAAGAGAACATGATCTTACTCGCCCCGACGTCCATCAATACTAGTACAATCATGAAGTAGGGAGTAATATGTTTCTTAAACCGTAAATAAAATGAGTGAGATCAAGAAAGTACAAGTTATTGTTGGCATTAACATTTTCGGACGCTAAGTTAATCCATATGTGGAATCAATGCTAAAGTTGATTGTGTATGAAGTGTAAGTACGTAATACTCCGTATTTAGTAACAACCAATTTTTTTAAAATATTCTAAGCATGTCATTAGCCTTTCATTTAATTACTTTCTTCATTTCGAATTACGCATTACATAAAAACTGTCTTTTCTCAATTTTTTCTTTTTACTTATTTTCGTTTTTATATGTTAAAATTAAATATTCATATCACTTCTTATTTTATAGAGACTTCGATATGATTTTTTAAATTTTTTGAAGTTTAATATCATTATTTAAAGTGCTCAAAAATATCATTACTTAAATAAGCTAGATTGAAAATAAATTCATTCAAACTTTGTTATTCATGACATATACTGTATGTCTTTTGTTCCGAAAAAAATCACATTTTCTTTAAAAAATCAATTTTCATTTATTAAGTCTTTTAAATAATTCATACGGGGTACTATTTTTCTTTCTTTCAAAGTAATTGTAAACCACATTGTTTTACTTTTTTCTTAAATAATTTTGATGATTTTATTATGATTTTTTTATGAGAGGGATAGAGTATTGAAATGGTGGAAAGATAATGGGTGTGGCTTCAAAGTGCAAAATTGGTATCCGTACACTGATGTGGCCCGGGCTATACACGCAACGCTGCAATTCCGATCTTTTTTTTAAGTCTGGAATAAAAATAGAGAAATTTACATAAATAAGACTAAAACATAATGACTTTCCAATATAGAACCATATGTTTTTATTTTCCAATGTAGAACTTTTGGTCATTATCATGTAGTCATTATTCAAGTAAATGTCCATCATTACTGGACATTATTCTTCCTACTAGGTCATTATTAAGTCCTATTTAGGGAATAAAAAAGTTTAAGTCCTACGTTGGGAAAGACATTATGTTTTAGTCCTATTTGGTGCAAATTTTACATAAGAATAAGACTTGAGCTTTCTTTCTTAAGAAAGCTGAAAATATCTCAAAAATTGTAATTGTGATTCCTATGTTTTTTTTGTGTTCGATTTAACTCTCTTTCTTTCTTAAGAAAGTAATATTTTTTCATAATTTGTAATCAAATTTTAAAAATGTTGACCATGAAAATTAAACATGAAAAAAATAAAAAATGGGCGAAAGGAGAAATTCTACCTTCACTTGAGTGGCAGAAATTAAAGTTCGCTCCTCACGATTCATGGAAAATTTCACTAAGGCCATGTTCTTGCGGAGACGGAAGCATATGTATTAGCTCTTTATGCATCAATAAGTTAAGAAAAAATAAAAACAAATTTTACGAGTGAAATTCGCACCAAATAGTACTTAAATCTATGTAATTTCCTAAAGTAGTACTTTAAAACTTGTTTACTTTCTAAATAGTTCTTGAATAATGTCTAGTGGCAGGAACAATGTCCACTTATCCAATGATGTCGGTCATTTAATTTGTACATTGTTCAAATGACGGTGAACATTTGCTTGAACAATAACCAATAATACTACATTTGGAAATAAAAATATATGATACTACATTAAGAAAATCACTGTGTTTTAGTACTATTTAGGTAAAATTCTCATTTTACAATGTACGGAGTAATTGAGTAAATAGCATTTAAAAAAACTATTATACTCTACTCTTTTTTTGAAGGAGCTATACTTTTTCTTATTTTATCTAAACATAGTCCATATATATAGTGAAATTTGCATGAAATATTATTAAAATAAGTATGTCTTTTCTTAATATAGTATCTAAAACTCTATATTTTTTCTTAAAAAGTACTTGAACAATGTCTAGTGACGGTAAATATTTACTTGAACAATGTCCGATGTACATTGAACAATAGAAAATTAAAACATACTCTGTATAATATTACATCAGAAAACTCATTATATTTTAATACTCCGTACTATATTGGTAAATTTCCTCATATATAAAGAGTAATAATTATAATCTCTAAATTTTTACTTTTCTTAATAATCTTTATAAGAATATTTAGTCAAAGTTTGACTAGTAAACAAAATGTACACATAGAAAAGAAGAAGGGAAGAAGGGTATAATTGTCAATCGCCTAAAAACTTTTGAGAAATTTCGATTCTTGAATAATACCTCAGGTACCTGCAAGTAAACCTCAAACTTTGCTCAACAATGGCGGCCACTTCTTTCCTTATCTTCATCTCATTTCTCTCTCTCGCCGCTCCCCGATCTCTCTCCGCCGCCTCCCCGTACCTCTCCCCCGCCACCTTCTTCAAGAATTACGAAAGGATGCTCTCAACTTTCAAGATTTTCATTTACGCCCCGCAAAAACCCTTCAATTACACCGCCACGCCCTCCTCCTCCCTCCACGCTGCCCTCCTTCACAGCCCGTTTCTGACGGCAGACGCCGATGAAGCTCACCTCTTCTTCATCCCTTTTCCCCCCGACATCTCCACGCGCTCTCTGGCGCGTCTGGTTCGCGAGCTCCGGTGGAATTTCCCGTTCTGGAACCGGACCCTCGGAGCGGACCATTTCTTCGTCCACCCCTCCGGAATCGACTTCTCCGCCGACCGGAACATTCTCGAGCTGAAGAAGAACTCCGTGCAGATCTCCATTTTCCCGACCGTCTCCGGGCTCTTCATCCCGCACAAGGACGTCACCTTCCTCCCGCACGCGCCGCCGTCGCTCCCACACGCGCCGCGGAACGGAACGGCGGAGTTCCTCGGGTACCTGAAGTGGGACGGGAAGACGGAGAAGGAGCTGGTCGAGGATTTGAAATCGGACGGCGAGTTCGCGATCGAATCTCAGCCGTCGGATCATCTCGGTAGGGTGAAGAGCAGCAAGTTCTGCGTCTTCCTTTACAACGGCGGCGTTTCGTGGCTGCCGGAGGCGATGGCGCACGGCTGCGTGCCGGCGGTGATCGTGGACCGTCCGATTCAGGACCTGCCGCTGATGGACGTCCTGAGATGGGGGGAGATGGCGGTGCTGGTGGGGCCCGCAGCCGGGGCGAGCGGGTTGAAGAGACTGCTACGTGGCGTGAAGGAGGAGGACTACGGGAGAATGAGGAGATCGTGTGCTTCGGCGGCCCACCATCTGCGGTGGAACGCCGAAGCTCAGCCGTACGATGCTTTCCACATGTTGATTTATCAGCTGTGGCTGAGACGACACACGGTTCGGTACGCGAGAAGAGAGCCGCCCAATTTGGAGTCTTGAGAACCGGTTAATTGACATATCAGTTGTCTATTGTGAATTCTCAAATCTCGTAATTAAATTTTAAACAAGTTCTTGTTTTCCAAACTCCTTGGTTCTTATGACATCGGAAATCAATTTCATAAGATAACCTGGGATACTTCAGTGCTCATTCGTAAAATTGATGATTCCTATCCTTAACTCCCGATAAACTCCCTCACCCCGACCCAATCTGAACAACCCCCACCCCCTGCACCTCCAAGTTAATTTGGACTTTGGACACAAATTTTGACTCCAAAATCCAAATTAACTTGGGAGTGTAATTGAAGGGGGTGAGAGTGTGTTCGGGTCAAGATGAGATGGGGTTTACTCCCTCCGTCCATTTTTAATGTTCAGACTTTGACTTGGCACGGAGATTAAGAAAGGTTAAATTTTACATTGACTTTCCAATTATGCCCTCCCCACTTTCCTGTCCCACTCTACGGTCACCCACTCCCTCAATGTCCAATCCGACATCTTCCATCGCCGGAATAGCCCCGCCGCCCAACCCTATCATCCAAAATCAGACAGGTTCCTGCGACCCATCGCAGAAAATGATGGAAAAAAGATGAAGAAGACTTGAAGAAGAAGATCCTTCACAGATCTTAATTATATTTCATAGATCTGGGACAAATCTGAATAATCCGAAGAAGAAAATGAAGAATCCGAAGAAGAAGACGAAGAATCCGAAGAATCCAAAGGAGAAGACAGAGAATCCGAAGAAGAAGAAGAATAAGAAGAAGAATCCAAAGAAGAAGAAGAAGAAGAAGGAAGAAGAGAAGAGAAAAGAAGAAGGGAAGAGAGAGAAGAGGAAGAAATTTGATACAGAGCAAAAAAAAGCACCGAAGTGGAGAAGGAAAGAAGAAAGAAAGAAGAAAAGAGAAAAGAGAAGAAAAAAGAAGAAAAAAAGAGGTTGGGTGGGGCTGGGGTGGAGGAAAAGAAAAAAAGGAGGATAGAAATAAAGTAAGAGTAATTAGGTCTTTTGATATAAAAAAGATTACCAAAAAAGGAAACACGAACATTATTTATGGACGGACTAAAAAGGAAACTACGAACATTAAAAATGGACGGAGGGAGTATGTTTTCCAAACAATGTAAATAAATTTGGGATGAATATTTATTAGACATATTTAGAAAATGAAGTGACAGCCAGGTTCCAAACACACACTTATACCACCTTCATCCTAAATAAAAAAAATTATTTATTTTTTCACAAAATTTATAAAAAACTACAACAGTTGATAATTTGATCAAAATTTAGGCAAAGGAAAACATAATGGAGAAGTAAAAATTTCATATTGAGATGGAGAAAGTATGCAAATACTCACATATTTCCTCTTCATTTTTACCAATTTGCATTAGTCTAGTGTACTTAGAAGTTAGAAAACTAATGACCCATCTCAACACTTGAGAGTTTTTTTAGGACAACATTTAAGGGGTAAGCCTTGTTTGAGAACACCATTTTTTGAATAAAATTTCAATGGTGTAAAGCAACTTTGAAAAATACTAAAACTTAATACAATTGTTAGATAGCATTTCCATAACACTAACTCTACACCATGCCCTTAATCTGCATGGTAAAAACATTGATTATAAAGGTTATGACCCTTTGGCACACCACACACAAACCTATTAAATAATGTGAATAACCACACAATTTCCTTTCCTTAATCAGTTAATCTCACAAGGCGTGGCTATGGTAGCTCACAACCGCTTGCACTAAAATCACACTACAAAACCAAATGTTTACCAAAATCCAAAAACAATTGAACATTTGCAATCCTTGAGAAAATCTACAAATTCACTTCTCATTGTAACACTGCAAAATCTTCTAGTATTCAGTCAAGATCCATTGCCTTTTCCTTGTCATTGCTTTTGCTAGACCATAGCTTGATCGTCCGGTCGTGTGAAACTGTAGCAATGAATTGTCCGCCTACACCAAACCATAGAAATGAAATTACAAAACTTTATGCAATTTTAGGCCTTACCAAACGAACTCTTAAAACACAATGAATATATACATTTTGCTCAAAACATCAAAGACATCTAACCTGCCATAACATCCAATGAGGTGACTTTGTCTTCGTGTCCAGATAGAGTCTTGACATGCCTAAAATCTCTTGACGACCACACCTTAAGCCACATGCGAATTTTTTGAAGTGGTCAAAGAACTATGAGAAGATTTTTTTAAAGAAAATAGCAAGAGTCACATGCCAAATTTGCACACAGTTGACATACCTTTGCAGTCATATCAAACGAAGCAGTCACCAAAAAGTAACCTTCTTGAGGTTCAAATTTAACTTGAGAGATGAGTTTTGAGTGAGCAGGTATTGTGTAGACTGATTTTCTCTTTCTCAGATCCCAGATTCTGCACGTATTGTCTTCACCACCAGTAGCTAGATGGTACCCATTGGGCGAAAAACTGATACCAAGAATCTGAAACCAACATCGAATGAGATGGTTATTTGTCACTAAAAGATACTCTTTTTTTGTTTTGTTTTGAGAACCGAATCAACCAAAAGTTTCTAGTTTGTGGTTATAGGCTAGGAAAAGATTTTAAACTCTAACACGCCCCCTCACACACAAGCGAGATTTCTGTGTTTGCTCCATAAGAAATCAAATTTCATTATCATTTTCTTTCCGTTCCCAAACATGTTATTGATCCAAACACAGGAAGTAAAACTTACAGGTTTAACATGGCCTTGAAAAGCAAGAATACTTCTTCCAGACCTTAGATCCCAAACACGAGCAAGGGAGTCTAGTCCACAAGATGCAGCTAAGGAGCCATCATGGTGAAAAGATAATCCGTACACACCCCTACTGTGCCCTTCCTGAAGAAGCAACTCTTCACCTGTTTCGACATCCCATAACCGCCAAGTCTTGTCAAAGCTAGTTGTGCCCAAGTATTTTCCACTTGGATGGAAGGCGATGCGGGCTAGACGGTCCAAATGGCCCTCAAAAGTCCTCAAAAGGGACCCTTCTTTATTCCACAACCTTGCAGTTCGGTCAGCAGAGGCGGTTGCTAGATGATGGCATTTTGGAGAGAATGCAACATCAGTAGCACGCTCAGTGTGTCCCTTAAGGCTAGAAACCTTCCTTGCTTGAGGCATGCTCCATAACTTTGCAACTCCACTCTGAGAACTATACATACGGGAACATTTTTTTTAAATCAACAAGCTGACGGGGAACTTTTAAAATATACACATGTCAGATGGACTGGAGCATATGAGAATTTCTGGCACGACAATGGGATACATTTTTGGGTACTGGTGACATTTTAAACTGTGTTTTAGTTTCTGGAACCTACACTAATAACTTTAAAGTTTAAATTACGCAATAAATAAATAAATAATAATAAAGCACCGAGTTTTAAAAACTAAGAACATAAACTAGTAGCACTCACATGAAATGGAGAAACTGAAGTAAAACAACCAAATGTATGTTAGACTATGATATATCATAGCATTTGAAAGACTAAATAGGCTGTATAATAAGTTAACCAACTAATAGCCACATGCTCAATGAGTAAAAGAAAAAGAAATAAAAAAAGAGCAGCCCGGTGCACAAAGCAGCCCCGCGAGTGGGGGTCAGGGGAAGGGTTCCACCACAATGGTGTCTTGTAAGCAAACCTTACCCTGTGTTTATGCAATAGGCTGCTTCCAGAACTCGAACCCGTGCCCACACGGTAACACGACAACAACTGTTGCGCCTAGGCTCTCCTTCAAAAAAATCATCCTATGACCCAAAAAAATCACACGCAAAGAGTAAACCAGAAAAGCAAAACCCACCATGATTGTAGCATACAGAATCCTGCTGTTGCTGCAAAACCTAAAAGGCGTGTGTGTGTGTGCGTGCGTGCAAGCATGCAAAAATATATAATCATACAGAAAAGAGATTACCAGGTGGCAAGCATCTCACCATCATGCGATAGTGAGCAGCCAGAGAGGGGGCGGTCATCTCCAATCTCACTGCAATCAAGGCCTAGAGTTCCTGCCTGGTTTAAAGCCGAATCCATTTCAGCATCCAAATCCTCATCAGGATCATCCCTTCTTCTCCTGGCACGATCAAGACGTGAGACTGCCTTCACAATAGAGAACTTTGCAATTTCTACTCGGGCCTCAAAAAGTGCTTTTGATCCTTCAGTATAAAATGGATATTGAATCTCCTCATCATCCTCAGTGGGTGCAGCAGAAGATGAAGCCTCTTCATCCTCGTGAGCTTTCATCAGCCTTTCCAGATGCCCTTCTGCATCAAGTCTGGCCATAAGTGCTCTCAGCCTGTCTCGTCTCTCCATTTCCCTTTCCCCAAAAAATGTTATGGGTTCACCAAGCCGACGAAGACGAGCTCGAACAGCCATGTCATTTGTGGGGACCGCCAGGGCAGCAGCTCTTCGCTTCAACAGAAGCTCCTGCATGGCTTTTTCTTGTCTCTCTCTCACCAGTCTGCTTTCTTCAGAAATCTCATATTCTGGAGCAGATTCATCTACTGCTGCACCTGATCCCGGTTCATCATGGTCAGAATCTGAATCGCTAGCTTGTGCATTTTGTGCCACCATAGGAGGCTTAAGTGCTGGTGGTCGAACAGGGAGCGGTGCCAGAGGTGGAACAATGGTAGGAGGTAATATCACAGGTGGGACGTGTGATTGAAGTGGTTGGAGGGAAATTGCATCAACCGAAGAAGCTACATTTTGATTATCAGCGACAACAGAAGATATCTCCATAGTTGACACAGAATTTTTCTCATCCACATCCATGCCCTGGGCAATGAAAAATAAAAACAGGTTTGGTTAAATTATTTCATCGAAAGTAACCAATTAGTGATATGGATGTGGCTGATAAATATGTAGATAAGAAAACAGCATCTTATGAAGAACTAATATTCAAGGAAGTAAACAATAGAGGGTGTGAAAGAGAAAACAAAGACACCAAAAGCTCAAGGGGAATTTATCAAAAATATTAAACTTTTGATCATTTGGGTTTTGAATTTAATTCTTTTTAAATTCTTATGTAACCAGAGACAAACAGTAACAAATGCTTCCCCTTAAGTTTGGGGAGGGATTGGGCGTGGGGTGACCCTTAGTAATTGGTATTGAAGCAAGCACAATCACATCAATCTAAATGGCACATATAGATTAAGCTGCCAGTTATAATGTTAACAAATGCCAAAGCAAATGAGACAAGTGTATACCTTTACTGACATAAGAAATATGCACCATTCTTTAAATAAATATCGGAGTAAAACAAGACGACAACTTTTCTTTCAAAAGTTAATAACACAAGAACCAA